AATTCCTATGCCCCACAAATAACCCAGAGATGCATTTTAAATAAAAGAACAAGTTCTACTCATGTAAAAACACACTGATTCCTGGACCGCCCGCGGGCCAGATGTAGAATATGATTGGACCAGATCCGGCCTCTGGGCTTTAGTTTGCCTACCCATCGCTTCTTTGGTACTGGCAGCATTAATGAGAGCAGACAAAGGCTGCTTGAGCTGTGCTTGTATCAAAGCCTCTGCATCACAAACTTGTTCTTCTCTACCAAGGTAAAACAGCAAATTTCCTGGAAGTATCCAAGGTCAGGCCACTAGCACCAGATGGACTTGATTATCACCAGGTGAACGGCACTGAACTGTGTTTGCGTCACACAAAATTACCACAGTGCTGACCGCGACACTGATCACTCCCTGGTGGCAAGCAAGATCCATCTCCAGCCAAAGAGGACCCATAGCACAAAGTGTGGTTTTGAATCAACAGTGGCAGAAAAATCATACTTGAACTTTGTGAATGCTTCTGTGATTCTGCCGAACAAGTGTTGAAGTAAGGTGCAAGCACATCAAAGAGGCAACCTACAACACAGCTACCATATTTTTCGCTCTATAGGACGCACCAGATGATAAGACACACCTAGTTATGGGGGGAGGAAAACAAAAAGAAAAAAATTCTGAATCCCAGAAGCCAGAACAGCAAGAGGGATCTGGCTTCTGGGATAGCCTCTTGCTGTTCTGGCTTCTGGGATAGCCGCTGAAGCCTCTCCCAGGCAGCGGGATGAAGACTCCCCCTGCCCGGAAGAGTCTGCGTGTGGGTTGGCTGCCCTCTGTACCTTCCCCCATCTCCCGCAAGAGCTGCGTGCTCTTTAAAGGGAGCGCGGCTCTTGGGGGATTTTCTGGGAGGTGGGGGAAGGGACAGAGCCGCGCGCTCTGTCCCTTCCCCCCACTTCCCGCAAGAGCTGCACGAAGCCTCCGCAGGGCAGTGGGGAGCCTTCGTCCCACTGCCCTAAGAGGCTTCGCGGGGCTTTCCAAAAGCCAGAATAGCTAGAGGGAGTGCTGCGCAGCGCTCCCTCTAGCTGTTGTAGCTTCATGCGAAGCCTCCGCAGGGCACAGGGAGCCTTCATCCCCATGTCCTGCGGAGGCTTCTGGGACAGCCTGCAAATCCTCCGGAGGGCAGCGGGATGAAGGCACCCCACTGCCCTGCAGAGGCTTTGCGCAGCTAAGCCCGAAGCTAGAACAGCGAGACGGAGCACAGCGCTCCGTCTCGCTGTTCTGGCTTCTGGGACAGCCCATGAAGCCTCTGCAGGGCAGTGGGGTGCCTTCATCCCGCTGCCCTGCGGAGGCTTTGCGCAGCTAAACCAGAAGCTAGAACAGCGAGAGGGAGCACTGCGCAACACTCCCTCTCCCTGTTCTGGGTTCTGGCTTAGCCGTGCAGCCTGCATTTGCTCCGTAAGACGCACACACATTTTCCCTTACTTTTTAGGAGCGAAAAAGTGTGTCTTATAGAGCAAAAAATACGGTATATCCTCCTTTGGCAAAAGAGACCAACAGTTCCCAGACTGGTTTGAGGTTGGCATGAAGGACATGGAGCCTGTTATCACTGTAAAGTACAAGGCTCTTCTGAACTACAAGCGCTGCAAAAAGACACCTGTTACACTGAGAAAGGCAAGGAGTGATGCCCAGCACACTGCCAGATAATGTGCCAATAACTACTGGCTAAAGCTGTGTCACAGCATTCAATTCATTGCTGACACTGGCAACACTCGCAAAATGTATAATGGCATGAAGAAAGCTTTTGGACCAACAGTCATGAAAACTGCATCACTAAAAACTTTTGCCAGAAGAGATCATCAGAGACTGCAGCAACCAGACAAAGTGATGGACAGAGCACTACCAAGAACTGTACTCATGGGAAAACATGGTCTCTGACACAGCAGTCAACAGTGTCCTGCCTGCCTGCCTTGGAAGAGTGGGATGTCGCTCCCTTCCTTGACAAGCTGAAGAATACCACCAACTCTCAAGCATGTGGTAAAGCCCCAAGACAGGATGGAATCCTAACAGAAGTGCTGAAAGCTGGCTTCAATTCCTCCCTCATGATGCACCTCCATGGCTTTATCTTGCAGTGTTAGAAACAAGGATCTATGCCACAAGACATGCATGACTCCAGCATTGTGACCCTCTACAAAAACAAAGGTGACCACCATGGCTGTAACAACTAACATGGAATCTCCCCACTGAGTACTGTGGGGAAAGCCTTCACCTGTGTAGTTCTCAACAGATTACAGTCACTCGCCAACATGGTTTATCTCAAGCCACAACATGGCTTTAGAGCTCAGAAGTCAACAGTCAACATGATTTTCTCAGCTGCAGGAGAAATGCCAGGAGCAGAGATGCCTCTTGTACATCAACTTCATAGACCTGACAAAGGCCTTTGATCTCATCAGCCAAAACAGGCTCTTCACACTGCTCAACAAGATGTGGTGCCCACCAAAGCTTCACAAAATGATCATGTCTCCGCACCAAGACAAAAGTGCAGCGGGTGCTTATCAGAGAGATGTTTGCAGATGAAGCAGCCTTTACAGCACACTCCAAGGAAGCTCTACAGAGGCTATCAACCATCTTGCCCAAGCCTGCAGGGAGGTCGGCCTTACCATCATCCTGACAAAGACCAACATCCTGGGGCAGGACATTGCCAGCACTCCATGCATCAGCATTGGTGACCAAACGCTTAAGGTTATAGACAATTTTGTGCTTCTGGGCTCCACCATAACCAGCAACCTCTCCACTGATGCTCAGCTGGACAAGTGTATTGGCAAGGCAGCTCTGGCAACCTCTCCAAAAGGGTATCGGAGAATGTGATGCTAATGACCAATACCTAGATGAAGGTCTACCAGGCTTGCATCTAGAGCATGCTGCTTTATGGAAGTGAGTGGAGGGCAACTAACAGCTGTCAGGAGTGATGCTTCAAAGCCTTCCACATGTACTGCGTCAGGAAGATTTTGGGCATCACATGGCAGGACAGAGTCTCAAACAAAGATATGCTCTCCCAAATCCAAATTCCCAGCATGTTCACACTCCTGTCTCAGTGATGTCTACACTGGCTTGGCCATGTCCACAGAATGGAAGATGGAAGGATCCCCAAGGACATACTCTACAGGGAGCTGGCTACAGGGACCAGGCCTGTTAGCAGACCAACCATGTGTTACATAGATGTCTGCAAACAAGACATGATGGCTGGTGACATCAACCCTGCTGTGTGATAATCTCTTGCAAATGACCACAGTGCCTGTAGACAGGTCGCGTATCCATAGCAGTGACCAGAGGAGAAATGATTGCTGGGAGGAGGGCAAAGAGAAGAAATGCCATGATACATCTCTAACAGTGATCACTAACACCTTCATCTGCCCTAGCTACAATAACACATCTCTCTCCTGCATCAATCTCTACAGCCACAGCAGACACTGTAACTCTCCAAGGGTTTGACTTTACCCCAAAGGCGCATTCCTCCATTGTCTCCTGAGACCGAGAGATTTTAACAAAGATAGACAGACATACAGACAGACAGACAGACAGACATACAGTGGAACCTCTACTCATGTATGGAATCCATTCAAGAGGTCCGTTCGTGAGTTGATCCGGGTCACTGGTAGAAGCGCCATTCTGTGTGTGTGCATTCAGTGGCAGCACCGTTCTGTGCGCGTGCGTGAATCATGGCAAGCCTGGTATTTACTTCCGGGTTTGCTGTGGTTGCGAGTCGAACTGTTTGCAAGTAGGGGCGGTGGTAAGTGGAGGTTCTACTGTAGTATGAACTGAAGGATGCTGTGGTGATTGCAGCTCAGGGACTTTTAAACTTCAAGGAGCAGCAGGAGCAGCCTACCGTATTGCTTGTATGGCCTACCTTCAGTTTTCAGGTATGAGGGGAAATCCACAGAGCCCCCCAGGTGGCACTTGTGTGCAAAAAGCCATCCCCCCCCCCCCGACTATCTTTCAGCACTTTTGAGTGGAAAGGGGGAAAGCTGCCCAAACCCTTTAAAATCCCCACTGCTGGCTGTGAATATGCACCACTTAGCACAATGCAAGATCCAGACCTGTGAGCCTGGCTTCCAACCACCTCCTGGGGAAACTATTGTGGCTGCACCTTAAAGATGCATAACACTCTCTGGATTGGGTCCTATGCACTGCAATCCTGCACTCTGTTAAGAAACTCTAGTTCTATTGAAATCAATGAGGTTTGCAGGCACTGAAGGACTGCTCTCCAAAAAGCTGACAAGTGGCCACTTTTCATCCACGGCAAGGAGCCACAGTTGAGTGGCATAGCAGCAGCTCTGGAGGCAGAAGACCTCGGGTTCAATCCCCCAAGGCAGAAATCTCCAGTTAAAAGGAATAGAGGGAGGAGTTGCTGGGTGAGACCTTGAACAGTTACTGACAGCCAGAGTAGATAACACTGGCTCCAACAGAGGACAAGGCTATCAAATGCTATTGTGCAAAGCGTCAAATGGACAATTTTATTGTTATTTATTGATTAAATTTGTATACAGTGGTATCTCGGGTTAAGAACTTAATTTGTTCTGGAGGTCCACTCTTAACCTGAAACTGTTCTTAACCTGAGGTACCACTTTAGCTAATGGGGCCTCCTGCTCCTGCTGCGCCGCCGGAGCACAATTTCTGTTCTCATCCTGAAGCAAAGTTCTTAACCTGAGGTACTATTTCTGGGTTAGCGGAGTCTGTAACCTGAAGCGTATGTAACCTGAAGTGTACGTAACCCAAGGTACCACTGTACTGCCCTTCATCTGAAGATCACAGGGTGGTTCAGCTAGGGTGCTGTTGCACACAGGTCCTGCTTATGGGCTTCCCACTAGTCATCTGGCTTCCCTCTGTGAGAACAGAATGCCTCTAGGCAGGTCCAGCTGCAGGGCTCTTATGACTCTATAGAGCACTCTATAGTCTCTCTCTCCCCCCCCCATCAGCCCAGAAAGGCTGGGGAATGATGTTATCAAGGCAAAACATTAGAGGAAGAAGCCAGTTAGCTCAGTGACAGAGCACCTGCTTTGTACGCAGAAGGTCCCAGGTTGAAGCCCTACTGGCAGCATCTCCAGGTAAGGGCTGAGACTGCCTTCTGCCTGAAACCCTGGAGAGCCACTGGTTCCTGTCAGTGAAACAACACTGTGCTACAGGGATTAACATTCCAATCTGGTATAAGGTGGCTTCCTAAGTAACCTGCTACCAACAGAGCAAGTTGCCCAAACACTGATTACAGCTTCCACAAGGAGGAAAGCAACCAAAGACAGTGTTGCCTTCTAACCACCTTTCCCAACTAATATGCCTCCCAAACCACAGCCATTTTCTGGAGGGTGTCAAAAACAACCCCAAAGCAATGTTACCTTTACAGAGAATGCTGACCAAGATACTGAGGCCAAGGAGGGGAGCTGTAGTTGGGGTGGGGTGGGGTTTCCCCCACCTTCATAGTACAGAAGCATTCAGAAGAAGGGATGGGGGTGGTTCACAGTGCCGATAGTGCCTGGGCAAGCCTTGGCATTTCAAGATTTCAGGTGAAGATGAAAAGAATGGGAAGAGGCATGCCGTACCGAAGGGTCCCAATTCAAAAAGAGGAACCCCGAAGAAGGAAGAGGAGGCTGGATGCCCAAAGTCTACAGGCAACCACCACAAGGACAAGAGCAGCAGATGCGGAGCAGAACCACCGAGGCAGCATTTGCTGAGAAGCCCCTGGGCTAGCCGGCTGGCCTCAAACCTCCTCCCCAATGCACCAGGACAGCAAAGCAGAAGAGGAATATACCTCTTTGCATTCGCACCCTCTCTCTCCTCTAGCAGGCGGTTTCTTGCTTCAGCTCATTGCCTAGTATGGTGGGATGGGATGTCCAGCTCTGAACTTTGCGTGGTTGTTTTTTTCTCTCCCTTCAGCAAGTTACTCTGTGAGTCAGCAGAAACAGACATGAGAGCACCAGGAATGCTGCCTAGTTCTGATGCAATGGGGACGGGTGGGTCCCCCCCTTTTTTTTAAGGTAGGGGAAAGGGAAAAGGCAGAAGGCAGCTCACTCCTCCATCTGGCTGGCTGGCTGGCTGGCAGGCAGGCAAGTAGCTGGGGGACTCACTTTTGCAGGGTCTGTAGAGGCGCTTCTCTCTCCTTCCCTCCCATGACACTGGACAGGAACCTGAGCATAGTGTCCCCCATCTGGATTATCAGCCAAAGGCTACAAAGCAGCCTTAGGCCAGATTCAGGTGGGATTCCCCCAGTCTCCCCCCTCCTGACCTTCGCAGCACCACCCCCTTCAAAATTCAGGGAGGGGGGATAACTGGATGCCCCCCCCAGCCTCTGGACTCCCTCAGCAACTGCTGGGCCTGAATGCAGCTGTCCCATGCAGTAAGCCACAGAACTGCAACAAGTCACACACTCTGCCCCCCACCCAATCTGGCCACTGGACCTTCATGGGCAGGAAGGGGTTGAAAAGGCTGCTGTTTCAGCTGGACCTTGCTTGAGCCACAAGGTCTTCCTCAGCCCACCCTGGTGTGTTCCTGTATCCTTGGTTGCTCTTTGGTCCTACTGCAGCTGCTGCTCTCAGTTTGCTGCCCATGACCTCAACCTTGAAACTCTTTTCCTAGGCTGGGTTTCTGTGAGTCTAGGTTTTTGCAACAAGACATTGCTAGTCCCTATTGAAATATGCAAAAAGATGAATGACTGTGGGCTTCTCACTACCCAGATTGTATGGGGTGTTAGGGGAGGAGTAATACCTCTGGTTGGGGACACATCATGCTCCTTTGGGGGTAGTCTGTCCACCTTGGGGTCCCCACCCTGCATTCAGCTCTCACCTGTGGCTCCTAGAAGCTGTCAACATGCAACAGCAGCCACACCCCAGGAAACAGCTTCAACTGGCTAGCTAAACCAGGTGAGAGTAGCCGATGGTTCTTAAAACCTAAGTGAGTTAGGGATGTCACCTGCATATGAAGACAGGCTCCAGCAGACTGAGAAGAGAGTCTAATAGTGGGTCCAATGTCAAGAAGGCGGTTTCTGCACATGCTGTAGAGGGAAGTGAGGGGCAGATGGAGCTCATCAACCTGTGAAGGAAGCTCAACTAGGAGATGGAAAACTCAGATCCTAAACCTCTGCTGCCTTCTTTGGGAGAAGAAAAGGCTAAGGAGTAAACCCTACACAATTCCAGAGTGGAGTCCCTAAGATGCTTGGAAGATGCCTTGAGTGTCTCCTGACAACTCCTGCAGCCAAGCTGATGCCAAACATATTGTTCTGCTTTTCTTTGAACCACATTAGCAAGGCTGACAGGGGGGTCTTGCCATATGGACAGCCTGGACCTCCATATACACTGGTTACTCCCCAGCGAAATCACTTCGGTGCTGCTAATGCAATGGTTTAACTTCACCCCTGAAGGAGCACTCTACTGTCTCTGGAGACAGATGGATGCCAACAATAAGCTCACACACACCCCGCCAAAAATAAATAAATCAGTGGTCCTTCAGGTGCTTGGAGGTGGAGGCAGCCTGATGATTCCCTTCTTTGTTTGGTTCTGAAACTTCACATCAGCATGAAAAAAGACTCAGGCCTGTATGTTGCTGTAAGAGCTGAAACACATTCCCCATTCATACCTTCCCAATCTGCTAGCTATGAAGCTGAAGAATAAGCGAAACTGTATTCAGATGCTCATAAAAGTCAGGAAAATGATATGCAAATAGTATTTATCACATGCAACTACGATGCTGAGATTGGCATATTTTCCATTTGCATTCATGAGCCATGTCTGTTCTTCACGGAGACTGTGACACTGACACACACACACACACATCACGCCCAGAGCCATCGAAGTACTCTGCCTGCTTCTGTGCCCAGCAAGGCCAGACTCTACCCAGGAACAAGCAAGCCCTGCCTTCTGGGGGCAGGGGGCACATGTGTGCTGCTGCTCCACAGGGAAGAATCTGGGATTTCCTTTCACAATGCCACCTGCGGGACAGATATCAGCAGAGGGAGGAGGGCCCTACTCAGGAAGACGGTGCAACAAAAGCTGCACAGAGATGGCCCAAGCCAGCTTGAGGCCCTGGACCACAAAACAAAGCATGAAACGGCACCCCCAAAATGGGGAAAATGTAACAATTAGCCATTTGCTACCTTGACATAGTAGCCCCAAAGAATAACCAGCCTTGGATGAGGGGCTCCGACATAAGCACATTGGAGAATCAAAAAGAAACAGGCAAAGGAGAGACTAGACTTCAAAGAGCAGGATCTGGAGGTGGTGCCCTGGAGCAACATAGTCAAAGAGCAGTGTAGGTCTCACTGCCTCCAAGGCAAGCAGTGGGTCTCGCTGCCTTGGGTCTCACTGGGGGCCACTATTCTGCATGCTGATGGGAAGGTACAAAACAGGGGTGCTACTATGGGCATTTCACTTGCACCAACAGAAAGCAAATTGGGTGCTTATCTCAGCACAAATCTGGGGAAGAGCAGCCGTGTGCCCACAAGGCTGCCTCCCTTCCCATGAATCCCTCTCTCTCTCAGAGGGAGCTGGAGCAAGAGCCTCCACACAGGAGCTTGTCCTGGGAAGAGGAGGTTGGATAGCAGATTTCTCCATACTCCCTCCTAAACAGTAGGGCAGGGTGGGGGTCTCTAGCACATGGGTAGGTAAACTAAGGCCCGGGGACTGGATCCAGCCCAATTGCCTTCTAAATCCGACCCACAGATGGTCCGGGAATCAGCATGTTTTTACATGAGAAGAATGTGACTTTTTATTTGTGGGGCATAGGAATTCGTTCATTTCTCCCCCCCAAAAAATATAGTCCAGCCCCTATTCAAAGGGTTCTCCACCATCTCCAGTCCTACAAAGCCTCCTGGAAGGGCAGCGCGGGTGGCGCTGTGGTCTAAACCACTGAGCCTCTTGGGCTTGCCGATCAGAAGGTTGGAGGTTTGAATCCCCGCAACGGGGTGAGCTCTCGTTGCTCTGTGCCAGCTCCTGCCAACCTAGCAGTTCAAAAGCACACCAGTGCAAGTAGATAAATAGGTACTGCTACGGCGGGAAGGTAAACGACATTTCCATGTGCTCTGGTTTCCGTCCCGGTGTTCCGTTGCATCAGAAGCAGTTTAGTCATGCTGGCCACATGACCCAGAAAGCTGGCTGTGGACAAACGCCGGCTCCCTCAGCCTGAAAGCATATGAACACCGCAACCCCATAGTCGCCTTTGACTGGACTTAACTGTCCAGGGGTCCTTTACCTTTACTCTTCATCAACTGACTCATAATGGCTATCTGTCAGAGATGTTTTAGCTGAGATTCCTGCATTGCAAGGGGTTGGACTAGATGACCCTTGAGTCCCTTCCAGTCCTACAATCCTGTTATTCTGTGATCTCCCAAGGATTGAACCCATTTCATCTAGGTAGTTTCCAGCCCTCCCTTCCTCTTGCCACAAGGGAAGCTCTGGGGTGGACAGGGCCCCCTTGAGCCATCAGAGGCAGTGGTTAAGCCCCCCCCCCCCCAGCTGCACCCTTCAAAGAGGCAGAGAAAGAGTTTACAAGTTTAATATTCATAGCTTGGTTTATTTGCATATCGTGCCATAAATAGTAGACGGTGAGGTGAAATACAAAGTGTTCCACTTGCATTTCTAATTGTGCTTAAAATCAGATGTAATCCTTTCTCTCTTAGAGATTTACAGTTGCTGTATTGCCATTCAGGTCTGGTATTGCAAAAACTGTCTGGGAAACAACAATAAGGTTGGAACCCACCCTGCACCCAGGATAGGAACTGAGGTTCAGGACAGGTGGCAGGAAGGGAGAAGGGCCCCTCCCCAGAGGTTGCTCTGTTCTATGGGTTGGACTAGATGAGTTGGAGTAGATGACCCTTTGGGTCGCTTCCAACCCTACAATTCTATGCTGTCCTTGGGATCCCACCTCCCTGTGCAATTTGGGTCCAGAAGGCAGCTAGCAAGCACAACATTTCAGATAAAATCACATTAAAATAATAAACTACACAGAAGGCAGCAGGAAAACCAAATGTGTGTTATTTAAAGCTGGGTCCCCACCCACACACTCAATGTGGTACCTGTGGGCAGCCCCACAGCACCCACCTACCTCCCCTCGCCT